GTCCCACCGACTCTTCATCACATTTCTGCCCGAAAAACAGCGTCTGTCAACGGCGAAAAACTCATGGAGTGTTTGTGATCAAAAATCACCGCGACCGAGACATCAGTTTACTTTCCACCGGAGAACATTCACAGAGATTTCTTGCTTTTATAGAGAGATAAAGGTTCAGTGCAGGATGAGAAGACTTTGAGCTCTCTGAAAACAACCCAGAGACCTGACAAACACAATCAGTGAGTTTCAGACTGCAGTTCTCAAAATCACCTTTTGTGATAGATTAATGAAACCATGGTCTTTCAAATGTTGGTCATGATTACTGAAAAATGTCTCATACCACAGGGGTTGCTAACTAGGGTAACACTTGTGGAACCAGATAGACAGTGATGGTGGTTGGACTACTGAGTGATTCACATTTAGTTGCCATTTGGGTTTAAGTTTAGCCTGAACAGACATTGTAGGCCTGCTGCTTGGGTGAGTGAAGGATTTAAAGGTGAAGTTAAGTTAGGTCAGTTAGAGAATGGGGCCGCCTCTCAGAGGGGTCAGTATATTAGTGACGGCACAGCCTGATACCCACTGCAGGGTCTAATGACAGTGAAAAATAATTTAACATTAATACTGGGCTTCCAAAGGAATGTTCACCCAACTTTTGCCACATTTTAGTGTGTATTGAATTAAATGCATTGCTCTTTCTTTTTGTGCTTTTCAATGAAGTCCCCAAAGTTCAAAGGTTTGGCCCATTTTGTAAGTCCACACTCATCTGTTAATATAGTTGCATTGATATGAATATTATCATTCAGTATTGTCACAGGGGAGTTGGACGAGAAGGCTGAACAATGTCCGGACAGGCTAGCTTAGCTCACCATGAACACTGGAAGTAGGCAGAAAACAGCAAACCAATAAAAGGTGCCTAACAACTTCAAAGCTGGACATAAAAAAATTGTTTCTACAATAAATATTTTCTTTGACAACAAAACAAAATCTGCTGTTTTCTGTTCAAAATGAGCTTATATGCAAAGTTGAATGGTCAGTAAAACCTTGTTTGAGTCCCCAGGTTTATTACAGTTTGGTCTCATTTGTTTTTTCAATTCATTTATTTTGGTTTCTGTGGATCAGTTGCACATTCGGCTCCACTACAACAGAAGAGAAGAGGGTAGAATACTCTCTATCCTATGATACTCTATGTTTTAATGTGTTTATTCAGCTTAGGTTTGTCAGTCATTGACATTTTTAAATTCCCTAAATAATTCACGGCCTCTAGTGTCGTGTTGTGTGTAAAGAAAAAGGAAAAATAATAGTGAGGAACAAAACATTTTTTCCACTCTTTAAATACACGCCTGTGTTAGTTAATGCATGTTAATTTCAAGGGATAAGGTCTCATTCACAGGTCATCAAATACCAACGTTTTGGCAGCCCAATGCATCTGTCTCCAGAATAACTGACCCCACCTCTAAGGGTGTGTTTCAGTAACTTTCCACTAGAGGGCAACAACTACTGTAAAGAATGGGTTTATGATAACAATGCTGGTTTTAAAAATTCCCTGACTGAGAAATGTTGGCTCATCTGGTTGAGTGTGCACCCCATGTACTAAGGTTGAGTCCTTGCTGCAGTGGCCCAGGTTTGATTCCAGCCTTTGGTCCTTCACTGCATGTCATTCCCTCTCTCTCCCCACTTTCCTGTCACTCTTCAGCTGCTCTATGAAAAATTAAGGCAATATAAAAGCCCCCCACACCCCGAAAAATAAATTCCATGTTCAATAAAGAATATTGTGTTTTTATTTTATTACCTTTATCAACAACAAACCTCTTTTTTTCTTTTCTCTCCTGGAAAGGATAAAGTAAACAGAAACTCTTTAAAGACTTGGAGAGTTTTTAACAGATGACTGTTGCCCCTTGACAAGCACAGGAAAAAAGCTTTAGTGGAAGTAAGCAGGAACAAGTAACAGATTCAAATTATACAATATACACAGAACCAGAAAATGTATCAAGTTTCTGCTGAACATAATAAAATATGCTCTAATAATTAAAAAAAAACATAACAATATTTATGGAAGTTCAGTTAAACTTGTTTTGGTCACCGTTGTTAACCTAGGAGTCACTCACAGGTGAACATGCCAGATGACTCTTGTCAGATCTTCAGTTCTTCAGGATAATGATGCTGTTCCTCTTCTGCACGTATGCTCACCCACACCCGCATCTGTGATCACATCACTCCCGTCCTCCAGAACCTCCACTGACTCCCAGTTCCACAACGCATTCAGTTCAAAATCCTCCTCCTTACACACAAAGCCCTCCATAACCAGGCTCCTTCCTACCTCACTGACCTGCTCCATCGCCACAATCCATCACGCAGCCTCCGTTCATCTGAAGCAAACCTTCTGACTCCTCCACCCCGGACCGAGCACCGAACCTGGGGGGACAGAGCGTTCTCTGTAGCTGCCCCCTCCCTCTGGAACTCTCTCCCCAAACACCACTGTGACTGTACCGACCTTCCAACATTCAAATCACTGACAAAAACACACCTTTTTAAAAATTGCTTTTAATGTTTAGCTTAGTCTGATGTGTTTTTAATGTTTTACTATTTGATGTTGTTTTGCTGCTTTTATGTTTTTATGTAAAGTGTCTTTGAGTATTTAGAAAAGCGCTTATAAATCAAATGTATTATTATTATTATTAAGATCACCATACACACTCCGATCAAGAAATGTGTTTTTATTTTCTAATTTGCTAAATATTCTAAATATTCATGTTGTATTTCCTGCTCTTGTATGAATATAGTCTATTGCTATTTGTTTCCACAGAGGTTCACATTAAAGATTTTATAATTTCCTCTTTAAATTGTATGAAATTCTAAATGTTGTGTGTACACATTAGGTCTAGTGAAGTAAGTTATTTTTGGTTCCACATCAGACCCAGATAATTAAACTAATGTCCTGCTCCTTGATAAACAGTCAGTATTGATCTGTCCTGAACAAAAGTGAGTGCAGGCTGGAGGCAGGCCAGCAGGGCGCATAGTAGGATATGTAAATAGCAGCAAAAGTGTGGCATAAAGTTGAACAGTAGCTGTTAGTAGAATACCAACATTCACAGTTCTTTCAACCAGGAAACAGCTCGGTCCTTTACCCACACATCTTTATCAAAACAAGATGAAAAAGTTATTTTTGTTCCTTCTTTTCTGTCACATTTCATCAGCAGGTAAGATCTCATTTAAATCTTTACAGTAAACTCTTCCACCCAGCTCTGACACACTCGTAGTTTAGTTTCACTTTTACCTAAAATGATAAGCCTGATGTGTTTCAACTGAATCATACTAAATACATCATATTTATGTTAAGTGTGATGATTTTCTGTGTATATTTATACTTAATGTATGAACCTCTCTGTCTTGCAGTGAAACACTCCATGAAGTATTTTGTAAGTGCATCTACTGGAGTCCCACACTTCCCAGAGTTTGTGGGAGCGCTAGTGATTGATGAAATTCTAACAGGTAACTGTGACAGCAACAAAAAGACAGTGGAACCAAAACAGGACTGGATGAAAAAAATATTTGAAGGCGATCCACAACTCTTTGAGTGGTACAGTGGACAGTGTTCTGATTATCAGCCAAACTTCTCCAAGGCCATGATTTCTAATTTGAAGCAGCGCTTCAACCAAAGTGGAGGTAAAGTGCTTATGTATGTTAAATTTCCCTTTGTCTGTAAAACCAATATAGCTTCTATTAGAAATATGTACTCATGTGCTCACATGTGTACACTGTAGGCATCTAGTATTTAGAGCTCAGACTGCAGGTGCCACACAGGTGTGACTTTGTTTATTTTGTTTAATATGCATATAATGCAGGAAGACATTTTGTTTGCCACTTTGTTTACCGTGATAGTCTATTGTCAGTACATACAACAGTTGCTACCACTGTAACTTTTAATTGCAAAATAAAACTTTCATCATTTACAGTATATAAAGAAAAAGTGCATTGATTATCTATTTTTATTATCTTCCCACTGGAGATTTCATCTGTATTCTGTACATTGTTCATTGCAGTCTCTGTTTCTGTCTCTCTCTCTCAGATGTCCACATTTTACAGGAGGTGTTTGGTTGCGCGTGGGACGATGAGACTGGCGAGGTTAATGGTTTTAATCAGTATGGTTATAATGGAGAAGACTTCATAGCATTGGACTTGAAGACATTGACATGGATTGCTCCGAAACCTCAGGCTGTCATCACCAAAATGAGATGGGATGCTGAGAAAACTAGAATAAAATACAATGAAATCTTCCTCACTCAGATTTGTCCTGAGTGGCTGAATAACTATTTAGATCTTGGCAAGAGCTCTCTGCTGAGAATAGGTATAATCATATAACCTGATGTTCATTCTTGATCATTCTTCTCTGACTGGTGCTTCATTATTGTTGTTGGGTATTTACAGACAATGAAGAGATTATAGGTTGTTGAGTAAGCAGTGAAGGAGAAGATTGCTAAAACATGGGTGTAAACAATGCATGATTTTAATATTTAAAAATATTTGGAAATGTTTCATACACTTTTTTTCAAACACTGAATGTACACAAGTTTTGTTTGTTTACAAGGAAACCTGGCCCTCAGAGAGGGCTTATTACTTATTTAAAATGTTATTTTTGAGTCTAAATTCAATTTTATTATTATGCTTGGAAGAATTTTCACACCTTCTGTTATTGATTCCCTGTTGAATTTATTTTTCTTCCACCTTTTACTTTCTCGCTCCCTCTTCCTCTATTGTCTATATCCCTTTCTCTCCCATTTTCTCTCTGTCTCTCTGTCTCTCCCTTTCCTCTCCAGACCTTCCCTCAGTGTCTCTCCTCCAGAAGACTCCCTCCTCTCCAGTCAGCTGCCACGCTACAGGTTTCTACCCTGACAGTGCCTTGATGTTCTGGAGGAAAGATGGAGAGGAGCTTCATGAGGACGTGGACCACGGAGAGATCCTCCCCAACCACGATGGATCCTTCCAGATGAGTGTTGACCTGAACCTTTCATCAGTCACACCTGAAGACTGGAGGAGGTACGACTGTGTGTTTCAGCTCTCTGGTGTGAAGAACGACATCGTCATCAAACTGGACAAAGCAGAGATCAGAACCAACTGGGGTAAGACTGGGATAAGTGGGTGAAAAATGGGATTGTATGTCTGTGGTTTGTTAACCTGAAGTACCAGATGGTTTGTTACACATAACCATTTATTTATAAACCATATATATTCTCTCCAATAAGAAAATGTATTTTTCAAAAAGACAACAGAAAACCTCAGTCAGGAGCTTGAGGTTGGCAGTGAAGGGGTAAGTAAAAGATTGGGTGAGATTTATGGTTGGTATGAACTTGGAGGCTGATGATAACACTCATGTCTCCAAATACAGCTGAGCCAGGTGGAATAAAGCCGATGTTGAAACCTATAAAACGTTATTTTATTCCATTGTATATACTTTGCTAAATTAAAGAGAACTTTGATTGTGATCATCTAAGCTGAAGTATATATGTGACATTTTTAGTTATTTATGAATGTATTTATTCCTTTACAGTATCAATGCCTGTCTACTATTTGCACACACCCCTATATTGATTATACTGTATTAACTCAACTCCAAGTCAGTCTTAGTTCACAGCAACAAACCCACATATCTGTATCAATAACTCATTGGATGGATGCATGGATCAAATGTGGCACAAATGTCCAGTTGGATTCAAGGAGGAACTGAATAGAATTTTGTGTTCAAAGCTCAAAGGTCAAGGTCACGTGACGGTTCTTACAAAACATAACTCCAGAATTCACATGCTGATTATAACAATATTTCACTGAAATGTTTAATAGTGTAAATTATGAAATGACAACATATCAAAGGTCAACTTCACTTCGACATCATAACATTCTGCGTGAAAAACTGTGGTGGCCATTATTCATCGCCAAAACTCACGAACAGAAAGGATGATTTGGTCAGTTACTGAACTGGTGACACTAATCTTGGGTGCCTGCCTTGAATCTGTGGTGATTTTATAGATGTTCTGTGCTGCTGGGTTCACGATGTGTGTGAAGCATCCACGTTTTAGAATGTGTAGCTTCTTTGCAGCAACATCAAACCTAACATGACTAACCTTTTCCGTTAAAGTAAGGGACATTTATGATATTGCGCTGCCTGGTGTTGGAATACAACCAAGAATCACATGCATGCCAGTATCTTTATTAAAATGAATTAATGATCACTGATGAATCACCCTGAATTGTTCATCAATAGTAGCCTAATTTTACCCATGAGCCATGATGATGAAGACACAGAAAACTAGAAATACATGACAAAAATAGTATATTGTCAATATTTTATAGATTTCATAAATCATGGTTTCAGGGGAGCTCATGTCTTAATAAGTGGAGCCAAGTAAACTGCAACTTGACTGGTTAGTGGTGGTATACAACTACAAGGTGGTAATTCTAGTTTTTGTTGGTTTTTTTATTCAACAGAGAAGCCCAGTGGCAGGACCATCCCCATCACTGCTGCAGTGGCTGTTCTTGCTCTAATCCTAATCTCTGCCTGTGGAGTCATCATTTACAAAAGGAAGAAAGGTGAGATAGAAAAACAGATTATCTGCTTAACTTACGTTTTCAGTTATTTTATTATTTAGTGTCTGAGTTCAGAGTCAGGCTCAGAGCCTGTGAGTCATTATAATGACTATACCATGATGATGTGGGAGAGAAATAAAATAGGGACTAAACAGAAGGGAATTGATTTATTTTTCACTTTGAGTGAGTAGAAGAGAGATCATATTCACTGGGGCTAAGGTGATGAAGATATTCTGGAGTTTACAACTGGAACTGAAATACTTGTCTTTTGTTTTGATTTCAGCCAAATGCCCTCCAACTTGTAAGTAAAACTAACTTTTATTCTATTTCGACTGATCTGACACACACTTGATGCTGTAGCTATAGTGTTTCACATTATTGTGCAGATTAATCTTTTGAAGACTGTTTTCTGTATTTGCTGTCGATAAAAGTTCAGTGCAGAATGAGTGGACTTTACTTTGTTTCTGACCTTACAGCTCCTGACAACGGATCTGAGCTCTCTGAGAAACTGAATCCAGAGACATGATTGCAACGCACTCTCATTAAAGTTTTATAAAGTTTTCTTTGACAAAGGTGGTGCTGACTGGATCAAATTAATAGTCTATGGTTTTTCCAAGATAGGGACTGCCCCTCCACTTCATTTTGGCCAGTCACTTACTGTGTAGTATCATAATTATGCCTTTTCCCATAGTAACAAATAGGATAACTAATACTTCCATATACAAACCATGTTTATTTAAATATTGTGATCAGAACTACAACTAATGCTGTACCTGGACGTTTTTTAGCCCTTTTTTTTTTGTTAAATGGGATAATCTGTCATTTGTTCAAGTTGTTGATATCAGAATTACATTACTGTCCACTTATTCAGAGTTCATTCATGTTTCCCACAAAATGTATTAGTGTGTGTAAGAGCTGCCAGTGTTGACTGTCAGTGGAGGAGAGATACCAGTATTGTCTCATCTAAAAGCCTTGACTCTGGAGTCTAGGAATTATCCAGTGGATTGTTAATTTGCCAGTGTGTCTCCAGGAGCTGCCAGTCTTGGTATAAACTGTGAGTACAGATGCCATTTTGTCTTGAGTTCCTGGATTGAGTTGCTGAAGGAGGTGCAAGAAATCACAGCCTTCATATGCCCTCTGGGTCTGTTCCAATTTAAAGTCATGCCATTTGGACTGAAGAATACCCCCACAACATTCCAACGGATAATGGATCATTAGGAGAATTTAAAGGTGTCATGTGTTTTGTGTAATTCTAATAGTTGATTGGACTGAACTCTGTTAATAAGTGTGTATATAACTGTGTTGTAAGGAGTAAGGGCTAGGCCTGCTCTGTTTGGCAAGTATCCTGAGATAATTTCTGTTATGATTGGGGCTATACAAATAAAATTTAATTGAATTGGATTGTCAGTTGCATTGTAGGGAAGACTTTTCCCAAGTGGCTTGAACTCTTGGAGCCGTGAAACACTCTCTCACACACAAAAGCACACACACCCATATTGCTTTGTTTGCTTTGTGACAATACACCTATTGAAAACTCTAATGACTGTGGTCTATTTGTTTTTGGGGACATTTGTTTCATTGCTTATTGCTATCTGCTTATGGTTTTGTATGGAACAATGACTGACCTTTATGATCATTTTGATTTGAATATATTGCTTTAATTACTGGTTTTATTTACTGCATCTTTTTATAAGCTGTACGAACACCCTAATCCAGGGATCCAGAAAGAGTGAGAAAGAAGAATAAATTGGCCTATGATGTTAATCCAGGTGATTTTTTCAACAATACGCAAAACTGCTTTTTCTAAATTAGTTTCATGGACACCACAAGCTTCATCTTCTGTTTCACTCTGGTTTTTGAACTGAAACAACCCTCATCAGAGCTAAAGATCAATAGTGATTTGAAAGATGAACTTCTATTTCAGTTTTGCTTGACCTGCTGTGTTTGACAGAATTGATGTTCTAATCTTCCTACTTTGTGTTTCCATTCTTTTGGAGTTTTATCTCTGTCCAGACAAAAATGTTCTGAGCAGTTTGACATGGTTCAATCCTTTGACCTTTGCTTTTTAATTTATACATGCTCCCACTTGCTCTGTCAATTATATGCTGAAAGTAAACCGCTGTATGTTAAACCTCTCCTCCTGTCTTCAGTTCAATAAACAAGCTGCTGAACTGTGCTGGACTCTGAAAGAAATGCCACTGTCTCTGAAATATAATAGCAAAGTCTGGGCCCTTTGAGTCATACTGGACTTTGATCTTTACTTTAAAACTCGTGGGAGCAGCTTTTTCATCACAAGAACAAACATATCATATCAGAACTTAAATCTCAAGGTTCATATATTAATCTTAAACAGGTCAGACATCTGTAATGCTCTCTTTGCTAGATTGTACAAATAGACATAAACAGTTCATTCAGAATGCCACACATGAACATGCAAAGTCGAACATGTACTGTATTTCCTGTACTTCTAACATTATACGTTATATCATTGGCTAAGACACAGAATCAACTTTAAAACCAGTAGTCTAAGGCACATTGTGGTTTTTGCTTTTGTACATCTCTGTGAAACAAACTACATGATCTTGTATTTCTTTCTCTTCTTTTCTCTTCTGCATTTTCTTGTGTCTTATTTGACGTATTCGTCTGTATGTGTTACTTATTGCTGTGTGGATTTTACTTCGTATGATGTGTCCCATGTCATTAGAATTGCCTTGCTTTTCTTCTCAGTGCATTTTTAATCTTTCTTTCTTCTTTTTTCTTTAATTTATTTTATCTTTATAGTGCTGTTATTACGACTAGTGCTCTTACTGGTGAACAGACCTGTCTGTTCTTGTCCAGCACATTTAATTGTTCTGTTGACCCGTGTTAACCTAAATATGGCAAATGAAACTGAACTACATCCTGCATTAATTCATGCATCAAATCACCATGAGTCATGAATTAATTAAGCATTACTTAAGTATACAATTTTTTCTTAAAAGAAAAAGATTGACACTAATTTATTAATAAACAATTAATAAATAGTTCTAACTATCAGAAAGGAAAGAGGAAAGCAGAGGCAGGTCAAAACAACAGCTACTGCCATACAGCCGTCATAAGATGAAGAGGACAGGGACCTTTCTCTGCATTACAGGCAGTGGTAGTTCAGTGCAGGATCAGTGCACTAACAGTGTGTTTCTGACCTTACAGCTTCTGACACAATATCTCTGAACACTCTAAAAAACTGAATCAAGAAGAATCTTAACCATGTCTTTCCCCATGTTACCACTTGAGGGCAACATAGATCTGACATTTCTCAGTTGTGAGAGAAGTTACCACTGAGCCAGAGCATTTTCACACCTTCAGCATTTTAAAGGGTTTCCTTACTTATAATTATTCAAATACAACAAAATTGGTCTATTCTCAAAAAAAGATCAAATCCAAAAGTCCAGTTGTGAAATGAAACATTACACTGTATAATTTTGATACCAGAATTTGAGTAGGCTACTTCACATCGGTGTAAATTTAATATTAAAATGAATTAAAAAATAATTTGCAATTGTGTCAATTGTGTTGTTTTCAATAGCTCAACAGATCTAAATGACTATGGGAAGTGGTAATCTGCAAAATATTGTATTCTGTAAGTGACATCAGGTATCACCACGTCAGAGAGGAGCCCTTTTACCAAGACTTCAAGCTGGTTCGGAACATAAAAACCTTTTATTTAATTTTAATCGAAGGTTAATGATGCATCTATCACAAAGATCTCGTTCAAGACAGCTTCAGTCTTTATACCACTAGAACTTCCTCTTAAAACTACAACCACAAAAAAGTGACACATATTCAGATCCCTGTGATTTCTGTTTTTGTGATGACTTTGATGTCATGGACTTTTTTTTGGTTTGTTTTTTTGGTTTGTTTCACTCTGATGAACCAAACCAAACCAAACCAAACCATCTGCAACATTCTGCAACAATATAATTAAAATTGTACAAAACTAGAAGAGGTCAGCATGGTGGTCCAGTGGTTAGTACTGTTGCCTCACAGAGAGAAGGTTCTGGGTGAGAACCTACCAATCAGCTGGGGCTGGTGCTCTTGTGGAGTTTCTCTCTCTGTGTTGTGTGGGTCTGATAAAATGTTTTCTCCTTTTCCTAAACCTGGACAGGTCTGCATTTCAAGAAAGATCAAAAAAAGTTTTGAACCTACCATGTCTGTTGGCAGCCATGATGGTGATAGATTTTTAATGGTACAGGTATGAAGTCATTTGGTGTGATATGTCCCTGCATTTTCTGAACATTTTCATTCCAAACACTTTTAACCCTGAAGAAGAACAGCAGGTTGGATGTTTCTGAAGAAATATTCAGTGTCAGAGGCAAAGTTTAAACCTGTTTTCTTATAAAAGGTGTCTTGCCTACTTTGCCTTTACATTCTTCTAATATGTGCATTGCAGCTTGGCATCTATTCCATACATACAGGACCATTATAAACACATACAGAATGTGAACGTGTTCAAGCTTTGAGAATAATGGGTAATGGGTGTAATAATGGGTATGCATGATATACGTTAGGAAGATTAATGTGCATTATTTGTAACAACAGCATAGAGAACTGAATTATAATTAAGTAGACTTATAGTCCACTAAGGTTAAAGTGTTTACAGAACTATTCCATATTCCAGATGGTACCATGTCAATGGTAGTGGATACCGTAAAACTTCAAATACAAGCAGTCTGTGTCCATTCTTCCATTATTTATATTCCTTTAGTCCGTAAGGGTCCAGTGATCAAAAAGGGTTTCATCAAAACTAACCCGAGTTGTGGATATTGTCATTTGAAGTCCATTGCTCACTGTCTGTATGCTGGTTGCTGTAAATCTCCTGTTGTAAAACGATGTTCAGGTTCAAGTATCGTGGCAGCAGCACAGAGAAAAAAGTACGACCTGAAATTTACAAATTTGCTGAACAAAACTCAGGAGAAGCAGTACAATTCGAGAGTATTTCCATCTGTGCTGAGCAAGAGCTTTGTGCTAAAGGAATTAAACGCCTGTCCCAAATAGACGCCTTGTCCCAAATAAAGGCAGGGGGAGTTCAGTGACTGAAGCAAATAAACGCCACGGCTATTATTAGAAGTTTTACGGTGTATAACCCATATCCCAATTCTTAATAATATAAGAAATAAAGTCTGCCATTTTTAAAACTAAATTACATCTGTGTGTCAAAATTTAAAATCAAACTTGTCAGCAGTATCTTCTTTATGGTTTAAAGTTAATCATTTAATCATGCAGAAGCTGTATCATTGGGGGCTCTCTTTTTTAGAGAAGTGACCAAGGTTTCCAGCCTCTTAATTTGAGCTGGCTGGTTTTTGTAACCTCTGTCAACTTGAAGGTCCTGTTACTTCTGGAGCCTCTGTCCCCGTGGCTGCTTGAGGAACTGAATCAAGTGAAAAGTTAAGAATTTACGTTGGATAAATGTACACTGCTGCAAAACTGGAGATACTCTATACCTTCTCAAACTGAATCTAAATCCTAAATGAAACAGCAAACCTTTTCATGTACCTGGTGGGTTGATTTAAGTTTTAGTACACTAAGTTATGAGCCATTTTATCTGTGGCTTAAGTACTGTAGGTGACTGTTCCACTTCTTGATCAACCCACTGTGGATTTAATTTTCAATGAAATATGTAATAGGGCATTATTTAACATATTTATTCTTGAAAGTTAAACTGACTACAAAAAAATGAGACCTACCTCTTTATCTAAAGACAAAACATGAACATTGGTTTAAGCTGATTTCCTAATCTTCTCCCTGTAGTGTTTTCAATGACTCATGTGAAACACACAACGTGTAACTTTTCAGTCAGTATGCTAGCTCTATTGGGCTTTTGATAAGGTCTGAGCTATGAAGCAGTTTATTACTACAAGAAATTGTAGTGAATTACTTTGCCTAATGGTGTGTCAGTGATGACAGTAAGGTAGCATCATATGAGTGCTAAAAACATGAACCTGTTCATTCACATAGTATACCTCTAAAGTAAAGTGCAGGCCAGTCTCCAAAAATAACAATAATTGTTTTAATTCCATTTCATACTTCATCGACATCTTCACTGGAATGACAGATGTCAGATACACTCCCAGACAGACAGACAGACAGAAATTTGAATCAATCAATATCCTTGTCATTGAATAAAGTCTACTTCAAGTTCACACGTTCTCATGGGCGTCTGTAGCCGGCTGCTCATTTTGTCCGGGGGAACTCCGCTGACCCCTGAGCCACTGCCAGGGATTGTCCTGATGCAAATCAGGAGGGAGAACCAATTCATCGTTGCACAATTCGATTAGACATCTGCATATTGAGCATCTGCACCCCATGAAAATCTGCCGATACCTATCCTCCCTCCCCCCCACTGCCCCCACATTCTGTGGCCCCCCACGGGGGTAGCACCCCACGACCCCAAGGGCAGCCTCTGTCCTTGCTCCCCACCCGCCTCCCCCTGTCTCCCCCTCTTGTCCCCTCCTGACCCTGTCAGGCCCAGCTACAATACCTGACCCCGCCCCAGAGACGGGACGATTGGAGTTCAAGGTAAATGTCCCTTTCGCTGTGTCTGTCTGCCTGGCCCCCGTCCGGCCCCTGTCCGATAATCACATGCACCGCTCTTTTTTTCATACTTTCTCACACACACACACACACACACACACACACAAGAGAGAGAGAGAGAGAGACACACACACACACACAGAGAGAGAGACACACACACACACACACACACACAGAGAGAGACACACACAGAGAGAGAGAGACACACACACTCATTACAATCTGTTTTTGAATTTTTTGACAAAACATGACTATGCCCTGAAAATGAAGGCTTTCCTTTCTCTGCAGCTTTTCCATTGTAATCAATTCTGACCGCTGGCTCTTATTCAGACATCTCTGCCACTCAGACGTTTTCCCTCCTTTTTCATCGCTCTTATTGATTCATCAGGCTCTCTTTCAGCTCTGGGAAGAGAGAGCGAGCATGTCAAGAAGTTTAAAGCAACATGTTTAGCCTTACCACACACAGTACAAAGTTGAGATGTGATGCCCGTGCCATAAAATCTATCAGACATTGCTGGTAGAACTGCAAATATATTTCATGTTTAATTTGTGGTGATACAGCATGTTCCTAAGTGTGATATTCACCATTTGAGAAAACTGCATTCT